GAAATACGTATCCCTTGTGATGGAAAACAAGCACAGCCAAGAAGAGCATGCTTCACAATAATTCCCTCATCACAGGGGATATACTTTAAAATGTAGGATCCTCACCTGTTAACAAATATTCATGTGTATATCTGCTGTAGCCAATGCGACATCGTCGCATGATGACCTCTTCCAATCTGGACTGACAACACAAGAATGTGAAAGTGATAGTTGGTTTAATGTTTAATGTTCTAAGGATAGGTTTGCAATCAGTATAGGGAAGTAGAAGTGGTGTCACAGCTTTGTTGAGTTCTGCTCTTTCTGTTAGATCAAACATAGTGTTACCAGAAATTCCAACATGGCTGGGTAACAAACAAAAATTGATGTGGTATTGGCCAGAAGCAAGAACATGTATTATACTATTAAAATCATGCAAGAATACATGTACTTTGAATGAGAGGTCTTAAGGGCCCTCTCATGGGCACAATAACTTTACGCCACTTCAACACCCTTTGAGGGTACTCAATCTCAGCTATCAGATGTATTCGACCAAACAAACTCATTTATTATGTACAAATCATATTGATCAAATTTTATGCAGCAACTCCATTTCTTAAAAAAAAAACTATAATAAAACTAGAAAGTCTGCTGAAAAGATCCTTCATGGTTGAAACTTTGAAATAATTAGCTATGTTGCCCAAACATGGACGCAATTAGGCAAATAAATAAAGTTATTACCTTTAAAATAAATCAAAGTGTAACAAGATGTAAATGACAGAATGTTTTAATACATCATTCCTTAAAATCAGTCCAAAAACTTCATCATATTTACAGATTCATTATCCTGCCTTCAAGCACTTCTAAACGTGACTTCAAGTCACCCAATCATCCTGGACATATTAGAACTGTACAACGACCTTTCTACTAGCCAATATGACATCATCCTCTGCTGGTTGCCGGGTCACGTCGGCATAGCAGGTAACACTAAGGCCGATGCTGCAGCAAAAGCAGCTCTCGAAAAGCCCCTATCTCCACTGCTAATCCCGTACAGTGACTTCAAACCCACTATCAAAAGCTATACTCGGGACCTGATGCAAAAAAAGGTGGGACACTCAAGTAGGAAGAAACAAACTCCATGAATTGAAGCCAACAATCGGTTATACCTACTTGGGTTGTCAGTCAAGACGCGATGAGGTAATTTTACGACGATGTCGTATTGGCCACAGTCGATTTACACATGACTATCTGCTGAAAACGGATGGGGATGGACCCCCCATGTGTGTCTCTTGCGATGAGGTGTTCACCGTCAAGCATATTCTGCTTGAATGCGTGGACTTATCGCCTGCAAGGGACTCACATTATGATGCAACAAACCTAAAAGATCTGTTCTCACGCGTGAGCGCCCATCTGATACTGAACTACCTGAGGGAAGTTGATCTGTATCATAAACTGTAACTGTGAAATGTAACAAGCATAAATTGTAACTATGAAATGTAACAAACCGCCTGCCTATAAATTTGATGCTATGATTTTTTTCTGCTTTCGAATGACAATGCAATAAATAAATGTCTTTGAAATAAAACTCATTCCGTGTATGTACTTACAATATTTCCTAATGCAAACTTGTTCTCGTCACTATATGGCTGGAAAAATGCCGATGTGACGTAAAGCTCAACTCAACTCAACTCAACTTTTAGATCATGTTAAATCATTCTTAGAGAAATCAGCGTACATGCTCTCACCACAGATGATTCCAGAGACAAAATAGTACATTTGAAAAATTATAGTTTAGGAAAACGTTAATTTTATTATAAGCAAGCCAATGTTATCTCTAATGCCAAGGAATTATTACCACTTACATCACAATAGTATGAAAATAATGTTCAAATCTGGAGTCGCCCGCTATTTAGTGCGAGTATTAACAGTTACTGTAGTCAAAACAGAAATGAATGACATTATATATGTTTAGAAATGTTTAGAAAATGTTAAAACAAGGACTACGAACGAGACGTCAATCGTAACACAATGCTTGTTTGATCGGCATTCTTGAAGAACGACTTTACAGATACTAATTTCTGATGGTACACAGAGGGGCGTTTCCATGTTTATTCATACATCACTAGCTGTGTTTGTAAGAGCATGGGGTGCATGGTCAACAATCGACAAATCTGATACTTGGAGACCAATATCCTCCCTAGTGACCTCCAATGTGGTTTCCAAAAGAACCATTGACCATCTGGTGCGTCTGGGTTCATTTGTAAATAGCATACTCGTATGACACAACGTGGAAACAGGGTATCTTAAGAGATTTGCATGAATTTGGATTGAGGGACAGATTACCTCAGTTCATATCTCAGAGGTTAAACAACAGTCAATTTCAAGTACGGGAGGGTTCCACATTGTCTGATTATTTCTACCAAGACCAGGGCGTCCCTCAAGACAGCATCCTGTCTGTCACACTTTTAGCATACTAGATAACAGCCTCACTAACGTTTTGAACAGTTGGGTTGATGGGCCCTATTTCGTTGATGATTTCAATAGTTCATGCTGTAGTAAGAACATGCACACAATAGAAAGGCAGCTACAACTCTGCCTTCACAAAATCCAAACATGGGCCAATGAAAATGGCTTTAAGTTTCCAAAACAAATTGTATTAACCTTTGTCGTAAATACAAACCACACAAAGATCAATAATTATTTTTAGATGGTACTCCCATCAAGGTTGTAGAAGAGGTCAAATTCATGGGACTCATATTCGACCGTCACTTGACATTCTTACAACATATGACATATTTGAAAACGAAGTGCTTGAAGGATCTTGACTTACTGAAAGTTGTTTCAAATACAGAGTGGGGAGGGGATCAGGCTACCCTCCTTCACTTGTACAGATCATTAGTTCGCTCTAAGCTACATGATGGCTCCATTGTCTATGGTGGAGCATGCAAAGGCAATTTAGAAAGAAATAGATTCTATCCACCACCAAGGCATAAGGCTCTGTCTGGGAGCTTTTAGGACCTATCCCGTAGACAGTCTATATGCGGAGGCGAACGAACCTTCCCTTGAACAACGCCGCATTAAACTTTCACTGCAGTATATCACTAAATTACGTTCAAATCCGTCCAGTCCAGCATACAATTATGTTTTCAACCCTCTCTATGCAAACCTGTGTCTTAATCTGCAGAACCTGGTTACACCACTTGGAATAAGAATTCCACCACACATTTCTGCAGCTAAATTGACCTTAACGATTTCATTCCTCGCCACCGTGGCACATGGTGAAACCACGCCCTACCGTTCCTACCCTCAACAAACTGAAAAGTCAGAAACAAATCCGTTGGTGTTCCAACAGGAATACAACCAGTTACGTTCTAAGTATAACATCCATCGAACCATTTTCACAGACGGATCCAGGATAATGGCCAAGTTGCCAGTGCTAGTCATTGGATGCAAGACTGTGTCCTCAAGAATTCCCGACAATAGTTCCATTTTCAATGCAGATGCCAAAGTTATCTTCACGGCTTTGACCTATTTTAAATAACAGAACCATTCCGAAAACTCCATCGTTTTAAGAGATTCATTATCTTGCCTTCAAATTGTTATTTCAAGTCACCCTATCGTCCTAGACATTTTAGAACTTTACAACGATGTTTCCACTGGCCTCGTCAGTTGCTGGTAATCTATAGCCCGTTTTCATATTGTACTGCTGTTTCTAGTCATTTATTTTTTGTGATAGCGTACTTGTTTTAAATTAACAGCCATAATAATCTATTTTTTTACTGTCCTTCGATGATAGTTTTTTACGTTCTAAATTTATTGATTTTACTACTGATATACATTAAATTGTTCACGTCACGATATGGCTGCCATATTGCCGATGTGACGCTAAATATTAATTCACTAACTCATTTCTACTGGCCAATGTGACATCGTCTTCTGCTTTGTTGCCGGGTCTCGTCGGCATAGCAGGTAACACAAAGGTTATATATAGTTTATAGTTTTGAGTTTACTAATGGGATATTTATCAGAAAAATTGCTTCCTAATAACCTTTATATTAAGAACATAACATCAAAGTTGACATAAACTATACATTTGTGGTATATATTTATTCATTGTAAATACATTAGACCAAATTGGGATCAATGACCAATTCGCTTGGGCATTTTGTAGCTGGGGCAGTTCGACTGGTACCCATGAGATCTATTTTATCAAAATCGGTAAGATATCTCACATAAGCCTGAAAATGTTTCGCTGTCGGCATCAGTAGTGTGTACCGTGAAGGTTATTCTGTATGTTCATTGGCTGACAAGATGTCATTCTAAGGTTCTGGTAAGGGAAATATACATTGTCCTGACTAATATTTTATAATTCACAAGTTTTCGGGGAATAACTCATCTGCTTTGCTTATATTGTCTCTGCTTGACTAGGAGGCGGAAGTATGGTGGTTTATTTCAGAAAAGTAATATAGGCCATAGGCCCAGGTTACACTTTGAGAATTACAGAGTGAGAAAATATGTTATAATGAGGACTGTCTCAGTAACATAGCTTGATATATATATGCCGATAAATGTTTTAAGATGCTTGCATTTGATGATTGCAGAAGCGTATTAAATTTTGGATTGTTGGATATTCATAAAAGTGTAAAGGTATATACAGTCGCCGCAATACTTGATATTTATTACAAATAAGTAAGAAGTGATATTCATCTTCTATATATGGCAATTTACAGATATTACATAATCTGTCATTTCTAGCCTCACCAATATACCTGCCAGTTTCTATTCGTAGTTTATGAGACCCCGATCTAAACTGAGCAAGCGCACGTCTATGTTTAAAATAGCTAACTATGAAGATATAAGATTCAACACCGAACATAGGTTTAAACAACGTGTATCCAAATGTTTTTGTGCCTTTTATTAGTGCAGAATGCCAGTCCTGTTGATACGAAACTTTGAGTCTACCAAGAAATTCATCAAAAATAGCGTTTCACTTCGAACCATCTGTTATTGCCAAAAAAATCCAAATCTAATATATGCTTTATCCTAGATGCCCAGCCCCTGCAACCATTACTTTCCATTTGTACAGGCATGTTATAACATTTCTTTCCATATCGCTCATTTGACATTTTCAATATTTTACACCAATATTTCATGGACCTTTTGATGGTATAAATATACAATCGATATCTTTCACATTCGCCTCTCACAACATGCGTTGAAAGAGAGGATTTAATTCCTAGAAATCGTTTACAAGCTGCTACATGTATAACTTCTATTTCGTAAACAACATTCAGTCCCCATATTTCTGCACCGTAACATAAAATTGGACAAACTTTGGTGTCGAAAATCTTAAAGAACAAGTGAAAAGGTAATGGCTCAAACATTGACAGTGATCTACAAATACCAAATAAAACTTGCTTAGCCTGCAGACATACATTTTCTATGCTTTTGGTCCATACGAATGACCTACTGAATAAAATACCTAGATATTTGTACCAGGAAACACATTCTATATGTACACCATTAAAGAACCATTTGTCATACTTCGACAGTCTCCCACCTTTCTTAAAAACTATTACCTTTGTTTTTTCCATATTTACCGTCAAACAATTCTCAGAACAAAATATCTTTAGGACATCAAGTCTTTTCTGTGAACCAAACACTGTATCAGAGATAAACACAACATCATCAGCAAATAAAAGAAGAAATAACTGTACAAGTTCAGGATGAAGGTGAATTCCTGGTACGCAACATGCTTCGATTTCATAAGCTAGTTCATTGATAAGAATGCAAAAAAATAAAAGGGCTTAGGATACACCTTTGTCGTAGACCCAATGGACAATCAAAACATGTTGATAAATTATTATTGAATTTGACACACGCTTTAACACTTGCATAGAGGGCTTGGATTGATATAAGCATTTTGCTGCTTACTCCTCTTAGCCTTAAAATATTCCACAGTTTTGTCCTATTCACGAAGTCTAAGGCTTTGGAAAAGTCTATGATACATGCATACACTTGACCTCTCTTTTTTGAGAGATAGCGTTCAATAATGGACTGTAGGATAAGAATGTTATCAATAGTACTGTAACCTTTGCGAAAACCCGCTTGCGATTCAACGATGTGTTCATAGCAAGAGCACCAAAATGTTTGTCCAGTATTCAGAAAGTGTATGTACAGCTTGCTGAAGATAGTTGGATTTGATATACCTCTGTAATTGTTAACTACACTAGGACGTTTTTTGTGTGTTTGTGCGATTTTGAAATGTTTTCGTTCAATTTTAATCATGAAAGGTGACTTTTAGAATGCCTTTGCCTCTATGAAAAGTTTTGTTTTCGTTAGTATTCTTCTTTAAATAAAATAGATTTATGGTGTCTTGAAAATGGCTTTATATTTTATAAATCAAAAACTAATTGTATTCATTTCTGCCGTAAAAACAAACTGCATAAAGACCCAGAACTATGTTTAAATAGCACTTAAATCAAAGTTGGCAAGTGGGGTAAGTTCTTGGGTCTAATTTTTTACTGACATTTAACCCTTCTTCCGCATATCAATTCTTGAAAAAATATAGTCTAAAGGCACTCAACCTATTGAAAGTCTTTTCTAATTTGAAGTGGAGAGGGGATCAAGCTACACCTATATAGATCATTGGTCCGTTCGAAACTTGATTATGGTTCCATCGTATATGGTGGAGCCTGCAAAAGCAACCTAAAAATTTAGATTCTGTCCATCACCAAGGTCTTAAACTTTGTATTGGGTCCTTTAGAACTTCACCAGTTGACAGCCTCTACGTCGAGGCTGATGAGCCATCTCTCAACATACGCTGTTTAAAATTAACTTTACAGTATATAGCAAAACGAGTCAAACCCTGCATATAACTGTATCGTTAATCGCCTCTATGAGGACCTGTATAACAAAAAGTCCTCACTTGTTTCGCCTCTTGGTATAAGAGTGAAACGTTTCCTTTCTGCTGCTGGCATTGAGCTAGAAAATATACCTAACCACAAAAGAAAAGCCGCCTTTCAAAACCAAATGCAAAATGTTGTTCTTACAAAGTGGTGTTTTTAATATGATTGTACCGTATTTTTAACATGTTTTCTTGACAGTTATTACCAACATAAGTGTGTTTGATTCTGATGGTTTTTGTTATGTTTTTTAGATGTTTTGGCTTGACTTGGGAGACTTCCTGGTAAGATCCCTATATTACAGCTACGATATTGGTGAATTATCTGTAACACAAAAACAAGGACTTATACCTTGTATTTCAAAGGGAGATAAGCCAAGAAATCTCTGAAAAAAACTGGCGCCCAATTTCACTCATGAACTCCTCATATAAGTCATTATCAACAGTTACTGCTGACAGACTAAAAAGAGTGGGGGCCGTGCCAATTAACAGTTATTAGAGGGGTACACAAAAGCCCGCAGTTTAGACTACCAGTTGTCCGACTTCCATTTTTGTGGAAGTCGCGGTAGCTGAGCGGGTTAGGCAGCTAGGCGGCCCTAGGTGGGTTAGGCGGCGGTTGATTTTGAGTTGAGTTGAGTTAGGCTTCACGGCACATCGGCATTATTCCAGCCATATAGGGACGAGGTCAAGTTTCCATTCATTACCATTTTTGGTCCAAAGTTCAAGACAGTTATATTTTAAAAACATATATATTCATTACATTTCTATTTCAAAAATAGTCCAAATGTCATCAATATATTGAGTAGTGTTTCCAAACTTTTAGAAGCTGATAATGAATATCATCAGCTCCTGCTGCAGTGTCGTGAGCCTGCCCCATGGCAGTACGTAGTCCATGGAGAGAAAACGTTTGGTTGTAATCCTCTCCATTATCAGAGTTAAAATTGACTGATTTCTTTTCTTGTTGCGTTTGGTATTTCTGGAACTGAGGGTTATAATTTGATGAGGAGGAGTGGTTTGCCAAAGTTTCCAGCACCCACCACGAGGAGGTTCCTATTAAGGGGTGCTTCAACTCAAAAAGTACTAGAATTTGTACTTCACTAAGAAAGTGTAATCCCAAATATACTGAACATCATTGAAAACGCACCACTTATAATAGTTCAGATTATTAAAATCACGTGTAAGGCTGATATTTTTTATTGGATAATAACAGGTGGACGACTGACAAAAACAACAACACAGAAAAGACGCTTATTCATTTAAATGTTCCACAGTCAGAAAGGATCGTACACACGTGGGGTCAAATCGAAAAGTCAATATCGCGTGTGACCTCCATTTGCATTGACACATGCAGTTCAACGTCTCCTCATTGAGTCAATAAGCGTCCGAATAGAGTTCTTGAAGATGGCATTCCTCGTCTGCAGTAGTGCAGCCTCAAGTTCCCGGATGTTTTGCATCTGTTGTCGCCGTAGAAGACTTTGACCAATTTCTCCCCACACAAGTGCTCCATGGAGGATACATCTGGCGACTGTGCTGGCCAATGAATAACCTGGATGCGTTGCTGGGCCAGATACTGCATGGAAAGTCTCGTTGTGTGTGGCCTTGCGTTGTCCTGTTGAAAAGTATGGACATCTTGGTGGTGATTGAAGACAGATACAATGTGATTCTGAAGAATCTCCTCATGGTAATTAAGGGCATTAACTCTCCCTTGACAGACATGAAGGCAGTCCTGTGATTGTAATTTATCCCACCCCAGACCATGACACTCCCACCACCCAAAGGTCTGTCTGAACCACACACTCATCAGCATAACGTTCACCACGTCTACGCCAAACACGTAATTGGCCGTCAGCATTACGTAGATGAAGACGTGACTCGTCAGTGACTACCACACCATGCCATTGTTGTAACCTTTACTGAAATGCCTGCAAGCCAATTGTATACGCTCATTACGGTGTCTGTTGAATTGGTTCAACGTAAGGACGTCGATCATGGAGCCCTGCAGCTTCAACCACGTCAACCTTGAACTAGAGCACGTTCTCTTTCGTGAGGTGTTAACCTCGGCATCTCTCTCCTCGTTTCACAATCGTTAGTGAAGGAATGAGAATCGGTTCTCATACACCTGCTTTTAATGTCACAGTCAGTATGATTTCAGAATGAAATTCGCGCTTTTTTCATGGCGTGGCGACATGTTGATGCATTTTGGAATTAAGAGTCATACTGTGGACAGGAATTTGTTTCTAAAGCATTTTTTCAACTGGACATGCCCTTCGACTTCATGTTAGTTATATTTTTTTATCATTGTCATGCTGATATCCATCGTGTTGAAATTATTGAAAATCTTAGACTGACGCGTTTTCAATGATGTTCAGTATATAACATATGTTACATTTGACCACTTTCTAAATGGCATTGTGTAAAAAATGTTCTCCTTAATCTGATAGACGAAGATCAGACCGGCTTTATGACTGGCAGATATATTGGGGATAATATACGTATGATATATGACACCTCTTTATACAGAATCTAAAAGGGTCCCGGAATGTTATTAATAGTAGATTTTGAGAAGGCATTTGATTCTGTATCGTGGTCCTTTCTAAACAAGACACATAAATTTTGTGGAATTGGTGATATTTCAAAGTGGTATCTATCTATATAATGATATTAAATCTAGTCTTATTATAAATGGAAATATGTCACCTTGGATACCAATTTGTCGTGGCTGCAGACAAGGAGACCCTCTATCCTCTTACATTTTTATTTTCCCCCTTTTGTTGGAAAACATTGAAAGGACCTTTGAGTTAAGCTCCGGAAACAACATGATGACGGACGGACAAATGGACAGATGTAATGCGGGGCGGGTAGGGGGGTTTATGTAGTCGACGGCTCGTCCGTCCGTCATCATTTTGTTTCCGGAGCATAACTCAAAAAACATTCAATGTTTTCCAACAAAAATTGGTAGATATATCAATAGAACCTAAAGTGGTGCCTTTTGCTATTTACAGATTTTTGCCATTTTAATTTTCTTGGTTTCCATGGAAACGATTTGAACTTAGTTTCAAAATGAGCGTGACCATCGTCTCCGGAACACATCTCGAAAACCGTTTAATATCTTTCTTCAAGACTTGGTAGATATATCAAACATAAGCTAAAGTGGTTCCGTTTGCTATTTTTCTTGGTTTCCATGGAAACGATTCGGACTCTCAAAAAGGAGGGATTGGTTTCATTTCTGGAGGACAACTTGAAAACCGTGCAATATCACTCAACAAAACTTGGTAGATATATCAAACAGAACCTTTTGCTATTTACAGATTTTTGGCATTTATATTATTCCCGGTTTCCATTGAAACGATTCAGACTTAGTCCCAAAAGGGAGGGGTGGGCTTCGTTTCCGGACCACAACTCGAAAACTTCTTACTATCCTTCAGCAAAGCTTGGCAGATGTATGAGTCAGATCCCAAAGTGGTGCCTTTTACTATTTACAGATTTTCGGCGTTTTTATTTTTCATGAGTTCCATAGAAACGATTTGGACTTAGTCTGAAAAGACATCAAGCTGGACTTTAAGTAACTGTCAGATGATTTGTTCTTTCAAGTGTGTGGGGGCTATGGGGGGAATATACCATCTTCTGATGACTCTTGTTCTCCTATGTGCTGATATTTAATCTGCCCTTATTAAGAAAAATATTCACATAAAAGGCATAAAAGTTGATGAACTAGAGTACTTGATTGCACAATATGCAGATGACATGGAATTTATTCTTGATGGCTCTAAAAAATCATTTGAAAAGTTAGTGATACATTACACTTATTTGCTAACATTTCTGGACTGAGGATTAATTATGACAAATCGCAGGCTGCTTGGATAGGTTAAAAAACAATGTCAAGTTAAATTTGGAACCCTGAAACCTTTAGAATTCTTGGTATTATATTCTCAGTTGATAATGATAAGACGATAAAGCGTTTTAGTGAAATATATGAAATTGAACAAATAATTAAACAATGGATGAAAACAAGTATTACTCCGTTGGGGAAAATAGCTATTAATAAGACATTACTAATTTCAAAGTTAAACTCTTACTTATTCTTACTCTTCCAAATCCACCAGGAGACTTCCTCAAAAAAGCTAAATAGCATGATCTTTAGTATCCTTTGTTCGCTGATGATGTCATCATGTTCTCAAGTACAGTTAGGCACCCTTGAAGAGCAATCTCCTCGTGGTGGATGCTGGGTAACGCCAATGGCTCTTCGCCCCCGTGTGGACCCGGGGTCGAATGGGTCCACAGCACCCCATTGCTGGTCGTAAGAGGCGACCAAATTGGGCAACCCGTTTGCCGTGGGTTGCATCCCTGTGTCGGCAGAGGAAGGGAGTCTGGTGGTTGAGGATGACGGAACCGGCAATAGTGTTCAATAATCCAACACACCACTTCGACCCTAACTTTGCCTAGACGGGTGGTAGCATAAGCCCGATTCTACCAATCGGCTGGTCACGCCTTGCCCTGTGCATGGAATGTCTATACAAAATTTGGTATTACATAACACTTTTGGCCATGTTCAAAATGTTAACTAATATCCTACCAAAACAAATTAGCCTCGCAGACCCATGCACAGAAGGCGGTGGCTCATGGGCCAATCTGGTGATGCTGACCTCCGATTTCTGTACATCTCCAATTGATTGTCATGGACAGAACAATCCTGACCTTTAATCTGGTAGGCAGCAACAGCATTTCATGTCAAATTCGCTGGAGTATAACACCCCCTTATCCCTGGTCTTTGCAGCTTGGAGATCCGCTGCAATATAAGATCGTCCTTGTTGACACTCCACGGTGGGTGGGGAGAGGGGATGCTGAACCACATTACTCACGACATGGCTACCCAATACCCCGGTTCAAGATGAAGACACATGGATACTGACAACTCCTCGTCTGACGAGAGTACGCCCCTCCGACTGACTACTGGCCACGCTTCCTGATCATTGAGGCCTGTGAAAAGCAACCTTTGCAATTGAATCCTTTTGCAATCTCCAAAGGTATCGCTGGTATCTGCGGAGAGTTTGTCAGTGTTACCAAAGCTCCGATCTGGCTCTCTCCTGATAGAATGTATAATCACTAAATCTCCTCAAAATAAAATAATTTGTCAATATCAAGGTCGCTGTCTCAGCACACAAAACCCTTAACTCGTGTAGAGGCATTGTACGGGACAGAGCTCGATGCCTGTCTGACATGGCTGAAGAACAAATTGTCAAGGAACTCTCTCAGCAATCCGTCACAGCCGTAAAACGATTCACCTTCAAAAAGGACGGTGTTGTTCAACCAACGAACACCTATCTCTTCACATTCGCTCGAGCAAACATTCCTGACTCGATTAGAGCCGGTTATTGTAACATTGGTGTGGAGGTGTATGTCCCCAATCCACTTCGGTGCTACAACTGCCAAAAGTTCGGACACGGATCCAAGTCCTGTCGTTCCTCTGCTGTTTGTTATCGCTGTGATGACAAGCATGAGGGCAACGACTGTACTAAGGAAGTGAAGTGCACAAACTGCGGTGGTAACCATATGGCCTCTCCCAAGTTTTGCCCAGTGTGGAAACGCGAATCCGAGATCCTAAAGGTCAAGCACAAAGAAAATATATCCTTTCATGAAGCAAAGAAGAGGGTTGAAAGTTTAACTAAAGCCCCTTCAACCATCACCTACTCTTCTGCTGTCTCCGGTCCTTCCACCGCTACTGCAACCATCTCATGTCAGACCGACCTGACATGGATCATGTCTTCTCAGCCAACTCAACTCAACACAACTGAGCCCATCTCAGCCACTCCATCTCCAAAGCCAAAAGTCAAAACCTCTGAATCACAAACACCAGAACAAATGCAAAAACCAGAAACAGAAACTGCGCGCAGAAAAAGGGAAAAAAGAGGACAGAGAGACTAAGGCAACTTGAACAACCGCCAAACACAAAACCAAAGGCCACCTCTCCCTCAGAGGTCCCCATCGAGGTACATAACTCCTTTGGCCCTCTGGATATGGAGGTAACTCCATCTCCACCAGACACCAATAGGAGTTCATCAAACGCTTTCTCACGTTCACGTGACATGTCACCAGTGGAAGCACCATGAATCCACAAAACATGATCCAATGGAATTGCAGAGGACTTAAGAATAATTATAATGAATTACAGTTATTGATTCAAGACTTCAAACCATCCGCTTTTTGTCTCCAAGAAACCTACCTAAAAAGGACTGATAAATTTGACATCCGTCGGTACAGTTCCTACCACTCCTTTTCTCCTCCCGGTGTAAAAGCTACAGGAGGCACTTCTATACTGGTGAGGCAGGGCATCCTCCATAGCCCTGTTCCACTTAACACAAACCTACAAACTGTTGCTGTCCGCAAAAGTCTGAACAAAGGGTTTACACTACGTTCCCTCTATCTCCCTCCCACCTCAACTGTCCGCCTATCAGATCTTCAGAATTTATACGATCAACTCCCAAAGCCCTGCATAATCATGGCCGACTTCAACGGCCATAACCCCCTATGGGGGAGTACTGATACAAATAGTAAGGGAAAGGTCCTGGAGAGTTTCTCTCCAATAATGATGTATGCATCTTCAACGATGGATCAAACACCTACCTCCATCCTGCCACTGGATCATATTCTGCTCTCAATCTATTTCTTACAGATTCTAATCTTTTAAATGAGTTTGAATGGTCGGTCCATGACGACCTTTGTAGAAGCGACCACTTTCCAACAATTCTTACTCTTATCAACCTCACGGATGAACCACCATTAACAAGATGGAATTTTACTAAGGCCAATTGGCCTTTATTCCAAACCCTATGTTCAGAAAAACTTAAGCCGGACAACTTCAGGAATGTTCCTGACCCCACGGAACTATTTTCAGACGTCCTAAATGCCATCGGAGACAAAACTATTCCAAAGTCCTCTGCAAACCCGCACATACGCAAACCATGGTTTGATACAAACTGCAAACAAGCTAGGAAAAATAGGAAGAAGGCGGAAAAATACATACAGTGCATAACCTGAATGCTGTTAAAATGACAAATGCCAGGGCAAAACGTACCTTCAAACAAACTAAACGCCAGTCATGGAGGAAATATGTGTCAAAAATCAACTCCCGCAAACCCATGTCCAAGGTGTGGAACATGATTCAAAAGATTAAGGGCAAAGGGTCAAAATCAGGAGTTCACCACCTGAAAGATGGTGACTCCCTTCTAACAAATAAATCTGAAATTGCAAACAAACTTGGCGAAACTTGGGCAAACCACTCCTCCTCATCAAATTATAACCCTCAGTTCCAGAAATACCAAACCCAACAAGAAAAGAAACCAGTCAATTTTAACTCTGATAATGGGGAGGATTACAACGAAACGTTTTCCCTCAATGAATTACGTACTGCCCTAGGACAGGCTCACGACACTGCAGCAGGAGCTGATGAAATCCATTATCAGCTTCTGAAACACCTCCCTATTATCATCCCTATACCAAAACCCGGCCGCGACCATACTGATCCCTCAAACTACCGTCCTATATCACTAACTAGCTGCGTTTGCAAAACCATGGAGCGCATGGTCAACAATCGATTTATCTGGTACTTGGAGACCAATAACCTCCTCAGTGACCTCCAATGTGGTTTCCGAAAAAACCGAAGTACCATTGACCATCTGGTCCGTCTCGAATCATTCATCAAAATCTCCATTGTCAACAAAGAACATACCGTATTTATCTTTTTCGACTTAGAAAAAGCATATGATACAACGTGGAAACATGGTATCCTAAAAGATTTACACGAGTTTGGATTGAGGGGTAGACTACCTCAATTCATATCTCAGTTTTTAAATAACAGACAATTTCAAGTTCGGGTGGGTTCCACACTGTCTGACTATTTCCACCAAGATCAGGGAGTCCCCCAAGGCAGCATCCTGTCTGTCACACTTTTTAGCATCAAAATTAACAGCCTCACTAACGTTCTGAACAGTTGCGTTGATGGGTCCCTTTTCGTGGATGACTTCAATATTTCATGTCGTGGTAAGAACATGCACGCAATAGAAAAGGCAGCTACAACTCTGCCTTAACAAAATCCAAAAATGGGCCAATGAAAATGGTTTTAAGTTTTCAAAATCCAAAACAAATTGTATTCACTTTTGTCGTAAATACAAACCACACAATGATCCAGATCTAACTTTAGATGGTACTCCCATCAAGGTAGTAGAAGAGGCCAAATTCCTTGGACTCATATTCGACCGCCACCTGACATTCTTACCACACATAAAATATTTGAAAACAAAGTGCTTGAAGGCTCTAGACTTGCTAAAAGTAGTCTCAAATACAGATTCGGGAGGGGATCAGACCACCCTCCTTCACTTGTACAGATCATTAGTTCGCAGTTAACTAGATTATGGCTCCATTGTCTACGGTTGAGCATGCAAAAGCAATTTAGAAAAATTAGACTCTATCCACCACCAAGGGCTAAGGCTCTGCCTGGGAGCTTTTAGGACCTCTCCGGTAGACAGTCTATATGCGGAGGCCAATGAACTTTCCCTTGAACGATGCCGCATTAAACTCTCACTGCAGTATATCACTAAATTACGTTCAAATGAGTCCAATCCAGCATACAATTGTGTTTTCAACCCGCTTTATGAAAACTTATTTCCTAAACTGCCAACCCCTGTTCCACCACTTGGAATCAGGATCAAACCACACATATCTGCAGCTAAAATTGATCTCAACATCATTGCACCATACCGACTTCTGTCCTCACCACCATGGCAAATGGTGAAACCACAGGTCGATCTTACCCTCACCAAACTCAAAAAGTCTGAAACAAATCCTTTGGTGTTCCAACAGGAATACAACCAGTTACGTTCGAAGTATAACATTCACAGATCCATTTTCACAGAGCCGGATCCAGGGCGATGGCCAAGTTGCCAGCGCTACAGTCAGTGGAGCCAGGACTGTCTCCTCTAGGATCCCCGACAACAGTTCCATTTTCACCGCTGAAGCCAAAGCTATCTTCTCAGCTTTGACCTACATTCAACAGCAAAATCATTCCAAAAACTTCATCGTTTTTACAGATTCATTATCCTGCCTTCAAGCACTTCTAACGTGACTTCAAGTCACCCAATCATCCTGGACATATTACAACTGTACAACGACCTTTCTACTGGCCAATATGACATCGTCCTCTGCTGGTTGCCGGGTCACGTTGGCATAGCAGGTAACACTAAGGCCGATGCTGCAGCAAAAGCAGCTCTTGACAAGCCCCTATCTCCACTGCTAATCCCGTACAGTGATTTCAAACCCACTATCAGAAGCTATACTCGGGACCTGATGCAAAAAAGGTGGGACACTCAAGTAGGAAGAAACAAACTCCATGAATTGAAGCCAACAATCGGTTATACCTACTTGGGATGCCAGTCAAGACGTGATGAAGTAATTTTACGACGATGTCGTATTGGCCACAGTCGATTTACACATGACTATCTGCTAAAAACGGATGGGGATGGACCCCTCATATGTCTCTCCTGCGATGAGGCTTTCACCGTCAAGCATATTCTGCTTGACTGTGTGGACTTTACATCTGCAAGGGACTCGCATTATCATGCAACCAATCTGAAAGATCTGTTCTCCAGCGTGAGCGCTCATCTGATACTGAACTACCTGAGGGAAGTTGATCTATATCATAAATTGTAACTGTGTAATGCCACTAACGAATTTACCTGCTTTTCAATTTAGTGCTATGACATTCTGTTCCAAAATGACAATGTAATGAATGTGTATCTTTGAAACGAAACCACTTTGTACTTACAATGTATATTAATGCAGACTTGTTCTCGTCACTATATGGCTGGAATAATGCCGATGTGACGTAAAGCCCAACTCAACTCAACTCAAGTACAGTTAAGGGTTTATAAAAACCAATTACTTTGTTGGAAAGCCATTGCCTTGAATCAAAGCTTGATGTAAATGCAAATAACACAAAAGTTGTTGTCTTGAAGAATGGCGGTAAACTGTCTGTCACACTTTTTAGCATAAAAATTAACAGCCTCACTAACGTTCTGAACAGTTGCGTTGATGGGTCCCTTTTCGTGGATGACTTCAATATTTCATGTCGTGGTAAGAACATGCACGCAATAGAAAGGCAACTACAACTCTGCCTTAACAAAATCCAAAAATGTGCCAATGAAAATGGTTTTAGGTTTTCAAAATCCAAAACAAATTGTATTCACTTTTGTCGTAAATACAAACCACACAAGGATCTAGACCTAACTTTAGATGGTACTCCCATCAAGGTAGTAGAAGAGGCCAAATTCCTTGGACTCATGTTCGACCGCCACCTGACATTCTTACCACACATAAAATATTTGAAAACAAAGTGCTTGAAGGCTCTAGACTTGCTAAAAGTAGTCTCCATAGTCTTCCATAATTTGAGAGGGTACGATGCTCAGTTGATCATGCAGGCCATCTCATGGAGAAATACATCTCGTTCTCGCTCAACAGTCTGAGATTTCTCAGTTCCTCCTGTCTTCGTTCAACAGTTTGTTCAAAGCCATCAATACACCGACGCGGCAATTAAGTCTTTGTTTTTAAGGAAGAGGGTGTACCCGTACGAGTAAATGGATGATTGGCCCAATTTTGACGAGACCCAACTACCCCCCTCGACCGCTTTTACAGCCATTTGACCAAGTCCTCTATATCGCAGGACGATTACGACCTTGCCCAGAACGTGTGGTAGAAACTGGGGCTGTCGGCATTTAGGCGATTACCATGACCTCTACTTGAAAACGGACCTCCTGCTGCCAGCCGACATGTTCGATACCTTCAGAACGACGTGTTTGGAACAGTATCAACCCAATCCCGCCTGATACTACACCAGTCCCGGTCTCTCGTGGGATGCGCTCTTGAAGAACGGGCGTCAAACTGGAATTGCTCACGGATTACGCCATGCAAGATCTCACTGTTGCCCATGGATACCAAACGATGGATTGCGAATGATGGCATCCACAATTATAGCTATGGGTACCAACAGTAGACCTCAACGCATTGGGAGTTTCTGAGACCCCCAATAAAGGAATATCCAGTCGATGCGTCGAGACAATTGAATGAATGATAGCTTGTATAGATCATGGAAAAAGTTTACTACAGCCCCTGGGGTTACTGGAAAGGCATGAGCACCATCCCGAAGCTAGCCATAGCTGCTCGCATCTCCGAGGTTACCGCTAAAGCTTGGCTTAAAAAACAAGCCATCTGGCAAGTGTACCTGCCGGCTCCCCAATTCATCCCGAGAAGAAAGTTTGACATTTTTATACCCAACCGTACCCATCAAGCCGACCTCCTGTATCTCCTGCACGACAGGGTGAGAAACAAAACGTACAAGTACGCCCTGACCGTCGTGGACGTTGCCAGTCGCTACAAGGAAGCGGAGCCGTTAACGACCAAAGATTCGAGTCAAGTCACTAAGGCTTTAGATCGCATCTACAAATGCAGTTGCTTGACCTGGCCTGCGGTATTGCAAGTCATTCCCGGACGCATGTTCATGGGAGCCGTGTTGCAGCTGTTATCGAAGCATAAAGTCCGGGTGAGACGAGGCATGGCCGGAGCTCACCAAAGCCAAGCCATCGTCGAAAGATTCAACACGACTCTAGCCAAGCGGTTGTCCGGACATCAGTATGCCTCATGTCATGTCATCCATGAAATCCGTGACGATCAAATCTGATATGCCATCGCGTCACGGCCAAGAGAAAAAACTACCAGACCGGGTCGTCATGAGGTATCTGTACCAGCCTGGTGAACTCGAAGAAGGGGATAAATGTCATGCCACAGACCCTATATGGTCCATGAAAACGTACCGAATCGACCGAGTGGACATCAAAGACAACGAACTGAATCTGTATTACTTGCAAGATGGACCGGGTAGGGGATTCTTCCGAGAGGAATTACAAATTGTGCCTCACGACACGGTATTACCCCCATATAAAAAAAAATGTTCTGTCTGGGATTCGAATGCTAAAACTCTAGGTCCGAAGTCCGGCACGTTCCCTTCAGAGTACATTAAAAATATTTTTTAAAATAGGTTCAGTCTTGGATTCGAATGCTAAAACTCTAGGTCCGAAGTCCAGCACGTTCCCTTCACGCCAGCACTCTCACTCTCGCAGTGGAGGTGCTCTCAAGATATATATAGCTCATACGCTTTGTGAGCTTATGTAACCCGATTCTAGATTAGCCGATTGTAGCTTCTAAACATGTTTTCACGCATGCATCGTGATCAACTGGGTCTAGACTACCTAAGAGCATCGTTTCATGACACCTTGATTTGCGGTGAAAAGCAACCAAACCTGCACGAGGCGGGCGATCCCGTAAGACTGGTTCCCTTGAAACTTTTTTAACAGTGACAGGTTTTAAAACGGGTTCGAGACATCCATTGCGCTACTGTAGCTACTATAGACGGGGCTGAGCTCAGGAGGCACGAGCGGCTCTCTTGTTAAGAATGACGTCATAAAACTGGTTCCAGACTTCGTTTGAGCTACTATTGACGGAGCCCAGTTTAAGAGGACGATGCAGTCTCAGGATAGACCCATTAAACCGAGCACTCGGCTATCGGGTCCTCCGTGGCTCAGTCGAACGACTGCTGGGGTACGACTAAGGTACAGAGATGCGAAACTCTGTCACTGAGGGTTCGAAGCCTGCCGTTCGAAAACAATAAAACACGGAGCTCTCA